CACAGCCCCCGCCCCAGCCGCCGTCAGGCGTCAGCCTTCCCAGCCCGCCCAGGCGCTCGGGGTCGGGACGGCAATGCCAGCCTGCGGCAGCTCCCTGCGGTGCCGGCGTGCACCTGCAGCTCCCCCAAACTCCCCAAGGCGTTCTGCAGGTCCAGACTAGGCTGCTCCCCCACTCAGGCAGCTCACTACGTCACCTCTGCCTCCATGGGGAAGGGACCAGGTGCCCAGGCTCATCCTCTGTGGGACCCCAGACCCTGGCCCAGCTGGGGGTTTTCCCCTCGCTCTCTCTGAAGGGTCGTGTTTTCCTCTCCCCCGCAGCCTCAGCCCCATCACACGAGGAGCAGCAACAGCTATTTACGATTGCTGGTAGGAGTCCAAAGCAGATAATGTTGATTTGCACCTCATTTTTAAGCAGCTGGGCTGAGACTGAACAGCAATAACTGGCAATGTCCTAGATACCAGGATTAACTCATTTTGAACCATCCGAATGAGTAATTAGTACTGCAATTACTTTAAACTCAGGGCTACATTCTACAGCGATGGCATGATAAAACAGCCGAGATTAGTTTAACTTGAAGAAACCTGGTACGGCCAGGCCTCTCCTGGAATGAAAAGGGGACATTGTTTCAGGTCTGCTGCGCTGCATAGCAGCGTATCAATCACCCTCTTATCATGAGAAACAGCCCCCAGTCCCTCCTGCCTCTGCCCGAAGCCGATGCAGCTCCTGCAGCGAGCCATGCTGGATGGCGGAGGTGCTGAGGGACCCCCCGTCCCCCTGGAGCAGGCGCCATGCCGTGCCACCCCGCGGGAGGCAAACCAGCTCATGCAGCATGCAAATCTCCTGGAAGCGGCCCATGAAGCCGCAGCTGGGCGTGAAAGCGCCGATCCCCCCCTGCAGCAGGGATGCTCCCCCAGGGCCATACCTCACCCCGACATGCCCGACGCTTGGGCTGCTCCGGGGAAAGTGCCTTGTCAGCAGAACGGCAGGGCAGGGCCAGCGCCGCTCCTCCTGCCCCCTCTACCCGCCCGTCCCTGTGGCAATGCCGCTCTGCCGGGCCAGGGCTCGGAGCCGCTCCTGCAGAGCATCGCTCCTGGCAGCTCCCAGCCACACCGGCTCATCCCGGAAGGAAAGGCTTCCTTCCCCGGCACTGCTCGCCCGGTCAGCCCCAACGCCTCGCTGCCCCTAAGGACAGGAGCTTTGCTTAGCTGAACAGATAACTGGCAATGTCCTAGATACCAGGATTAACTCATTTTGAACTATCCGAATGAGGGGGGGGGGGTGACGGGGGGGGGGGGAAGCAGCTGGGCTGAGACTGAACAGCAATAACTGGCAATGTCCTAGATACCAGGATTAACTCATTTTGAACTATCCGAATGAGGGGGAAGCAGGAGATCCTGCAGGGCCCTGTGTATTTTGGATGGTTAACGAGTCTCCTGAGTTATTGCAGCCAAAAGCTTTGTGAGGGCATTGAATGTCCGACCCTGTGTCAGAGATCAAG